TTCAAGGGTATAATCGTCAAATCAATCCAAAACTATATAATAAAAAATTTCTTCCCTTCTCTCTTCTTTTCTTTCTTCTTTCTTCTTTCTCTCCGCCTGGCCCTGCTCACTCTTCTTCTTTCTTTCTTTTTTCCTTCCCTTCTCTCTCTCTCTCTCTCTTTTTGTCTCCTCTAGCCACCCAAACCACCACCCCGACCACCAAAGCCACCACTCTATCTGCAACTCTCTCCCTGCCCCCTCCCACAGCCCACCAACCCATCCACTCTAGCCACCCAAACCACCACCTCGACCTCCATAACCACCCCCTCTATGTACTTTCTCTGCAACTCTCTCCCTGCCCCATTCCATAGCCCACCAACCCAGCACTCTAGCCACCCAAATCACCACCCCGAGAGAAGGAAAGAGGAAGAAAAAAGAGAAAAAAGAAAAGAAAAAAAAAAGAGAATGAAGGAAAGAAGAAAAATGAGGAACAAAGAAGGAAAGAAGAAAAAAAAAGGGAGAGAAAAGAAGAAACAGCGAAGGAAAAGAAGAAGAAAAGAGGAGGAAAGAGAGGAGAAAAAAAAAGAGAAACAGAGAGAGAGAAGGGAAGAAATTTTTTTTTTATAATTTTGGATTGATTTGACGATTATACCCCTAGATTTAACGGTTCTTTTGACAGAAGGACTATTTAAGAGTACATGTATTAACGTTAGGGACCATTAATGATACAAAAAAACATTAGGGATGCAATGTGATAATTTCGCAAACGTCAGGGACGTTTTATGATAATAAGCCTTTTATATATTCAATTCAGGACATGCATGAAATATTTTACTTTTCACTTCATGGACGTATGTATGTCGTAGACAAATTACACATATGTAACATAATTAATGCGTGGAAGTGTTATTACACGTGTCGTAAAATTATTAGTCGGAGATGGCAAAATAATGATATTTCCGTTTCATGAAAGTCTTTCTCCTTGAAACTAGGTTTTCTCATATATATATATATATATATATCTTATGAATTTAGCATCACATATTCAAATAAGAATTCGTCTAGTTAATAATTTCGATGTAAGAAAGGATTAATTTCTACTGGGATATTAACTTGCAGGTAGCTCTTATGGGCCACGTGGCTGGCTCAAATGCGGTTTCAGCAATCCAAAATGCGCGCGTCCAAGCAAGACATTTCATGGACAATGTATAAACTCAAACAATTGCAACAAAAAATGCATACGCGAGGGCTCATTTTGTGGAATATGTCAATCTCATAGGCATAATAATCATTCAAAACTATGGAAATGCTATTGCTACAAACAGAATACCAAGTCCAACTGTTGAAGTGTATAATTAATTTCCACAAAAAAGATGTTGAACAAAGTTTTTTGAAGAAAACAAATAGTTTAGACACATGAAAATGATTAGGAGCATACTTGGCTTTTAGCTAGTGAGTACCTTGTGTTCTTACGCACTTCGGTTGGGTTGACCAAATAGAACAAAGGGAAAGGTAATTTTAAGGTTCTTTATACAATTACCAAACATCCAAATACAAGTCAAATATCCACCTCTATTATTATGCTGCTTTTTATATACTTAAATAATTATAAACTTTTAGTGTTGTGCAATTTTTTATGGATTCGGATCCTCTTCTCTGTTTGGATATGCTTGACTATTATTATTTACAAGTCCGAGCCTAATCGAGTCCTTAGTATTTCATAACCGATTTTTAGCCTCCAAACCCTTAATCCAAGTTATAACGTGATTCAATAATATTAACTACTTGTTGGAATTTGAATGAAATACATAAACTTGAGTCTCACATTGGAAAAGAAGAGAAAGTCTCTACTCTTTGTAAGTGGGAGTCTTCCCTCACGTGCTATATGGAAGGTGGGCCTAGTAGAGTGGAACTTGGGCTTCACCTTTTAATTGGGCTTGGATTATATATACATAATAATTAATAATTAATATTCATAGACTCGGGTCTTGGGTTAGTATGACGTAACCGGACCTAACCTAGACCCATCTCAACGAATTTTGTATGGATAGAACAACCCCGACGAACTTCTGTCATGGCGAATATATGTCACGATAGATCTTTCACGGAGAAATTTTGTTGGATCCATGTCGTGCGACTATACTGTTAAAATATTCTCTTTAATATTAATATATTTTAAAAGTATAGCCGCACGAATATACTATTAAAATATTTGAATATATTTAATAGGCTCCACAACATACTCCAATGAATCACTATCACGTGTGGTACTAGCAAAATGCCTATATTTCATGTGCATTCAAGGCATAATATGGATATTGTTGTCTAACATGGAAAATGAAGGGAGACTATCTATAAGAGGTTGATGACTAAAGCTTATCCCCTCTAATCCCCTTGAAAATTGTGGGATTAGGAGGGATAAGTTTTAGTTATCAAACTCATACGAATAGTCCTCCTTAATCATGCAAGTTAGACAACAATATCCATATTATGCTTTGAATGCACATAAAATGTAGACATTTTGCTAGTAGCCCTCCCTAACAAATGAGGCCTATATGTCATAACCCACTTTCTTTTATTGGTAAGAGAAAGAACTCCGAAAAATTGCAATTTTTACCTTCTTTAGCATAGGAAAGAAACTTGGTGGGTTAAGTATTACCATAAATTCTAAAGTTCCTAAAACAATGGGAAAAGTAGATTATAAGTCTTTGTCAGTAGTAACAACCCAAAAAAGAAATGAAAAAACAAATTCATAAATTAACAAAATTAATTGGTGTTGTCAGGATTTCCGTGTACCTGTTTCTACAATCAATATAAAAAAAATTAATTTTTAAATTTTATGTAGAGAGATAGTATATTTTATAATTGTTGAAGTTTGAATAAATTAATTATGGATTATTAATAGAAGTAGGATAGTCCAACAAGAAAGTTTAGAGAATTCACGAGTGGGGAGTTAAGACAGAAAGATGACATATGTATATGCGTCAGGTTTTAGTGAGTTAAAAAAGAAAGCTTCTTCTTCTCTTATAGTTTATTTGTTCTTGCTGAAGGATTCTCCTGTTTCACAGAGAGAGAGAGAGAGAGAGAGAGAGAGAGAGAGAGAGAGATCATCAGCAGAGCAGAGAGGAAGAAATGGCAGGTTTGTTTGACAAGCAAGCAGATGTGTACTTGGATGCAAGGCCAACTTATCCCAAGGAATGGTATTCCAAATTAGCAGTTCTCACCCCTCACCACACTCTCGCTTGGGATGTTGGAACGGGCAATGGCCAAGCCGCTCTCAGTGTCAGTATTACATCACTACCTCTCTCTCTCTCTCTCTCTCTCTCTCTCTCTCTGGAGGATTGTTTTTAATTTCTCTAGCTTGTTTACTCAACACTATCTAAGATTATATAGAACAGAATAGAAAATCAATTTCTTTTTCTTAACTCAAACAGAAATTCTAAAATTAAGACATTAATGCTCCATTTGGATTTGGATGGAGGAATTAGAAAGAAATGATTCGGTTTTGACAACAAAGTACAAGAACAATGTTAAATTGAAGTATTTGAAATAACTAGATATAGTTCATTTGGAATGATTATATACGAGGAATCATTTGAAATTCATTTTTTTTTTTTTTTTTTTTTTCTGGTTCAAATCTTGACATACATAGATTGTAATAGTCTTAAGACAAATAATTATACCTCATAATGTCATCTAAATTCATAGATTTGGCATCCCTTTATCAAAATGGAGCATAATACTTAATCATTGATCCCGTAAAATCTTGGTTAATGAATATTTTGTCTAAATTTGCAGTCTAACAACATAACATGTCAACATCTGACAAGAGAACATTGTGATTCATGAACAAACGCATATATAGATGTATACACTAATTGTTACTTAAACAGGTTGCTGAGCACTATGAACAAGTAATTGGAACCGATGTGAGTGAATCCCAGTTGCAGCGTGCAATGCTGCATCCTCGGGTTCGATATGCCCACACGCCGTTAAGCATCACCGACGATGAATTAATAGCCTTGGTAGGGGGAGAAGATTCAGTTGACTTGGTGACTGTAGCACAAGCTGTGCACTGGTTCGACCTACCAAAGCTTTACAATCTTGTTTCGCGTGTTTTGAAGAAGCCAGGAGGTGTATTTGCTGTTTGGTGCTACAATGACATTGAAGTTGATCCAACATTTGATCCTATAATGAAGCGATTTCATGACACAACACTTCCCTTTTGGGACAAGAACGCCCAGTATGTGTTTGATGGCTATAAGACACTTCCATTTCCCTTTGAAAGTGTCGGTTTCGGATCGGAGGGGAACCCATTGCCACTGGACATTCCAAAGCAGCTGTCATTTGAAGGGTTTTTGAAGATGCTGAGGTCATGGTCTGCAGTCACTACAGCCAAGGACCAAGGTGTAGATTTGTTACCTGAAAAGGTGGTTAAAGAGTTTGAAGGTGCTTGGGGTGGTTCCAAATTGGTAAGGTCAGTCAGCTACAAGGCTTTTATGCTTGCTGGAAAAGTTCGGCTGCGAAGCCTGTGATATAACAGTTCAAGTCCAGTCCAATCCAGCAATAACTAGTCCAAAATTATGACACCATCCATCATGAAGCAGGATTGATTGTTCTTTATTTTTAATTATGCTTTGGTGGTTCTATCCGAAAAATAAAAACTCTGTTTTGGTGGATTATTATTATTCTATGCATTTCTTTCAATGCAGAGCAATGGCATTGGCTCATGAAAGCCATTATAATTCAAAAAATGTTATTTACAGTTTAATAAAAAGAAACTTATAAAATCAATCTTCATGCAACATTGTTCTCTTACCAGTTGTATGCACAAGTTGCAGGACAAAGTCTGCAGACCCCTTGGCATTAATTCTTTTTTTCGGGGCATAAACCCCTTAGACTAGTCAAAGAGAAAAGAGAATTGCTTTTACTTTCTTGCACCCTTCAAATTGAATAGTTGAAACGAAATTGAACTTGGCTTCTAACATTAGTTTTCCTTGTCAAACTCTACAAGCATATTATCTTTTCTTGGCCTTGGACTGGAGAAAACTGCAAAGCATGCAGTTGAAAATTAGGAATTTAGGACTACTAGGAGAGATATTCACAGATTCCACATCTGTGTATAAAACCCCACAAAAATTCACTCTTGTAGAGAGATATAAGGCAAAAAAATGGCAGGTTTATTCGACAAGCAGGTAGATGATTAATTGGTGGCAAGGCCAACTTATCCCAAGGAATGGTTTTCAATGTTGGCAGCTCTTACCCCGCAACACTCTTTAGCTTGGGACGTGGGCACCGGCAATGGCCAAGCTGCTTTCTCCGTTAGTATCACTCTTACTTCATCCATATCTCTCAACTATTAATTAATTACTTGTTGTTTTTAGGCAGGTTTATTGTTGTAGCCATCTCTCAAATATGTTTTAAATTTAATCTCTGTACTGTATGTGTACAGCTTGGAGAGCATTATGAGCAAGTGATAGGAACTGATATAAGTGAGTCCCAACTGAAGCAGGCACTTCAACATCCTCAAGTTCGTTACATTCACACTCCGGTCTCCATGTCTGATGACGAATTGGTTGCGTTATTAGGGGGTGAGAATTCAGTTGATTTGGTAACCGTGGCAGAGGCCGTGCACTGGTTTGACCTCCCAAAGTTCTACTCACTCGTGAAGCGAGTTCTGCGTAAACCAGGAGGCATAATCGCTGTTTGGGGCTACAATGCTAGTGTGACAAGCCCTACGCTTGATGGTGTAGTTAAGCGTTTTTATGAAACATCTAAACCCTTTTGGGACCGGAAGAGGCAGTACTTATGGGAAGGTTATAGGACACTTCCATTTCCATTTCAAAGTGTTGGTTTGGGTTCTGAGGGTGAGCCTCTGCCACTAGACATACCAAAGGAAATGTCATTTGAAGGGGTCTTAAGGATGTTAAGATCCTCCTCCGCAGTCACTGCAGCTAAGGGTCAAGGTGTGGATTTGTTATCAAAAGAGGTTATTGAAGAGCTTGAAACTGCTTGGGGTGGGGTTGATTTGGTCAGAACTCTTACTTACAAGGCTTTTATGCTTGCTGGAAAAGTTTGAGGGGTAATCTTTTTCTATTGGGGTACATGTATAATATATGCTCAATTTCAGACCAAATAATTCTCTGTTCAAAAAGAATTATACAGATTATTGTGGGGTTATTACCATTTTATAGTTTTATAAGGATAGTTGTCCCTCTGTAACTGTTGTCGATGCATTGACATCATGTCAAGACACTCAAGTCTTGTAAGAATAAAAGGTTGCAGAAAATCCAATATTTTCTTCCTTCTTAGCCATCTTGAACAACATGTCGTGATTCAAGTGACAACTAAGAAAAACGTTTAGAATAAACGTTTATAAAATCTTTCAAATGCTTGGAAGAAAATGGAGCTTTTGTCAACCAGTTCAAGAGTCATCTTGTCCAGCTCTTTCCAATCTTCTTTGCTCTTCCCATCAGGCTCTTTACCAGCCGAAGGAGCAGTAAGCTTCTTGAAATTCAAATAGTCGATTATTTGTGACTTCCAAAGTACAAAATCTGTATCGTCGAACTTGTCGACCTGCTTTTCTATGTCGTCTACATTCATAGTTCCTCCTCACAGCAAGATCGAACCAAACAAGTAGAATGAATACAATGAATAACCAAATTAATCAAGAAACAAGCAAGCACAAAAAAACATACAACATGTAGACACTCACCCACAAAATTGGGCTACGTTCTTTGGCGTTACGGTGATTACCCTAAACAAGGAGAAGAGAAGAGAGATACCATTGACACATAGAACCAGGCTGATTATCAGTTGAAAGAGCTGGGAGACAAGCTTGGAGCCCCAGTTAAAGAGAAGGCTGAGGCAAAACTTGGAGAGCCCAAGGAAGCTATTTCAGGGGGTACAGCTCCAGCTATAAAAGATGCCATCGCTGCCTTAACCAGGAAGCATCAATTCATAAAAATGCAGAAGAGCAATGAACCTGATCCAGTACCTTTTTTCCCCAGGAAAGAATGTTTCTTTCGACATTGTCGTTATATGTTCTTGATCAAGTCATCTTGGTGTTACCGTGTTAGATGGTCATTTATCTCTAATCTTTAGCTTATTAGCAGAAAACCATATCATCAAAGCAGTCTCTTGTCTTCCCTTGTTTATAAAACTCGACTGCGATTTGCAATTGATTAGTATCTCATTCTTCTTTTTTCTCTACTTTCCCTTTGAAAAAGAAAGAGGCACCATGTACATTCAACAGAAAAAAGATCAAACCATGAGCAAAGTTGAGAAATTTGTATATATTATAAATGTATTGTTGACAAAGGAGCAGTAGGATATATTATTTTGGTGGTAACAACAAACACCATCTATCTAGGACTTCGAGGAAGACTCTCAGCCCTGTTACAAGCATAGGGTGGACATTCGTCGTGACAGCAGCACTTACTACAATACCCTCCGCCGCCTCCACTTACTCGGTGGTGAGATGATATTGATCTAGGACTACTATTACCACTAGCAACGTGGTGGTGGTGGTGGTTGTTGTTGTTGTAATGGTTTTGGACGTGGGCAGTACTAGTTGTACCCATCAACGAGCTCCTCCCAGTCCCGGACTCAGACCTACCAGGCGACAACCTACCTGGTGACAACAAAGGCGGCGGAGTCCTAATCCCTCTGTGGTGTGCTCTTGCACTAAATGAAGATTGGTTGGCATGATGGTGCTGCAAATTATTAATGTAAGGGTGACGCCCCTGGACATGGTTTTGGTACGTCTGTTGAATATTAAAGCTGCTGCTGCAAATACTAGGAGAGCTGTGCACTTTCTGCATCGGAGGCGACACCGTGATCCTATGAGCCGCCATGTTCATGTCCGCCAACACCAACTGTTGTTCCTGGGACGCTGATTTCGGAGACGAACATGTAGAGGATATACTCATGCTGGCCATGGGGCTACTTCCAATGATCATGTTAGGAGCGAGAATCATCTGCTGCTGGGGTTGCATCTTTGGCCACAACCGGACGATGCCGTTGATGGCGTCGATGTAACGCTGCTCCAGCATTTGGTGTTCCAACGCCGCCGTTTGGTTCTCGATCATGATCGGCTTTGAGGGGAACAAAAAGGTTCTTAGCCTAGAGCTCCCTTCGTTCTCAAGCCTATTGTATTCGTCCAGCATGTGCTTTAGATCTTCGTCGCTTTTCACGGAGACCAAGGCGTCCAGGTCTTCTGTCATTAGCTGGTACTTCAACACCATGTCCCCATCAAACAACGAGCTCAGCTTCTTCATCAACTCTGTAATGTATTACATATATAACACAATGTAACATTAATAAATACATACACATATTTTCATTTTTTTTATACGAGCAATAACCCACGATCTAAATATTTTAATTTCTTTAAATTAATGTCATTTTCATTTACAACATTCTGCTGAATTAAATGTGATTTGTGAAGGAGTAAAAGTGTTTTCTAACCACAAAAACACTTGTGACAGAAAAATTTAGTTCTTATTTGGGAGTGCTTTTGGAAATGCCAAAAGTGCTTTCTGACAACTTTTGACGGAAAAGTTTAGAAGCGCTTTGATTTATTTATTATGAAAATTCAAGATATTTATAATAAAAGTGCTTTGAGGAATGCTATTCACAATCGCTCAAAAGCGATTCTCACAGCACTTGCTAGACACGTGTACCCGTTCCCATCCTTTCTTTTTTTTAATTGTTTTTTCTCTTTCTTCTCTCGGTTGCCTCCCTCTCTCTCTTATTCTATTATTTTTTTCTCTTCCTTCTCTCCATTTCCTCTTCCCTTCCGTGCTCTCTGGCCTGCACAGCCCTTTTGTTTCTATTTTTCTGGTCTGAAACCTCAGCACTCCCCTCCATTTTTAATCTCAAGTCTTAAGTCTCTCTCTCAAAAGCTGAACTGCAGTTGCAGAATCCATCTCAACCACAAGGTTGGGGATGCCTTTTTCAGCTGCCAATTTGAGACCAAAGAACAGCCCCCATATCTCAGCCTCTAAGATTTGGCCTTTACCCAAATTAACTGTAAACCCTGTGACCCAGTCCCCTGTAGAGTCACGGATTACACCTCCAGCACCAATAGCTCCATTAGAATTTTTCCGAGACCCATCAAATGGGTTTCTTTCTCGGATACCAGATGAGAAGAAAAAGAAGAAATTAAAAAAGAGAGAGAAGAGAAACAGAGAGAAAAGAGAGAAGAAAGTTAAGAAATCTGAGGGAGAGAACTGTGATTTGGGGGAAGACATACACAGAGAAGAAGAAGTTTGGGTTTTTAAAGCTTGAGGTATTTGTTTTTGTGTTACAAAAGGTTTGGGTTTTTACAACCCATCGATGGAGACAGATACAGAGAAGAAGACGGAGACGGGGAAAAGAAAATAAGAAGGAGAAGAAGCAGGAGGAGGAGAGAATAGAGGGAGACCAATGGAAAAAAAAAATAGAAAAAAGAGAGAGACGAAGGCAACAGAGAGAAGAAAGAGAGAAAAGTAATAGAATAAGAGAGAGAGGGAGGCAACCGAGAGAAGAAAGAGAAAAAACAATTAAAAAAAAGAAAGGATGGGAACGGGTACACGTGTCTAGCAAGTGCTGTGAGAATCGCTTTTGAGCGATTGTGAATAGCATTCCTCAAGTGGTTTTGTTAGAAATGTTTCGAGCAGAAGTACTTCCTAGAGAAGCAATCTCAAACGAGCCCTTAAAAGCGCATACAGGTTATAAAAACGCTTATTGGAGAAGTGCATTTAGGTTGCGCGTTATTCTTCAGGAAGTGCTTTTCCAAGAAGTGCTTTCAAATGTTTTTCCAAAAAACGCATCTAAGCGATTTTTAACAAAAATTTCAACATTATTATAAACGTGCTTCTAATAACAAGACAACCAACCCACAAATACGTACCGGAGAAGGAGATGTCGCGAGACAAGGAGACGACTCGAGTCTCGCCGCCGACGTACTTGAGTTGGCCGTCGGCGGGCCTGGGAAGGATTTTCCCACCATGGCTGCACAAGAACTTCACCCTGCTCTTGGGTGATGATGTGCGGCTTTCACCACCACCAGCACCGCCAACTTCACCCGCCATTTTTCATATCAAAATGTGTCATATATGATGAGCAGCTGATTGTATAATGAAAATGATAACTAGCTCAACGACTTGGCAACTGCAGCCCCCTCCCTCTCTTTCTCTGGGACCTTGAATCACTGTCAAGAAAAGTCCCCTCAATCTGCACGTCGAACATAAAATCCAATTTTAATATTAAATTTAAATTCAAAAACCCAATACGATAGATATTTATTCTTTTGATTTTAGAGAATACTTGTACGGACGGGGAGCCGCAGTGGAAGAGAAGGAGGGGAAGAAGGATGAAATTGGGAGTGATTTTTTCTTCTTTGAAGAGTGGAAAATAATCCAAAAATAGCGGGAAATAAGGGAGGAGGGGAATTGGCATTTGCTGTGGTTGGGGTTTATTTATTTATTGATGGATTGAATTGAATTAGGTTTTGCTGTTTGTACGGATTTCCTCAAATGTCTCTGTTTGGTACACACATTTCTCTTCCTCACTCACTCACCTTGACCTTTTGTACAAAAAAAAAATTCAGATAATTCTATTCTCCGGTTAACATTTAGCTATCGTTCAATTTTAGTCCAACTAGATTTTGGTGTGAGAGGCAGAGACTCAAACTGACCCAATAATGCCCTTGATCCAATCAACAACTCTTGCGCCCGCCTAGGGATCCGGCGCGGCTATACTCTTTTTTGAAACAAAAATCCCGAGTATAGCTATACTCTTTTTTGAAAAACAAAATGCCGAGTATAGCCGTGCGGCTGTACTATTTACAATTTTTTTTTTAAAGGACCCGCCTAGCGATTCGGCGCCCACGTGTCAATAACAGTATAGCCGGGCGGCTATACTATTTTTGAATAATTTAAAAAGGGTAGTATAGCTCGGCGGCGATACTCTCTAAATATATTATATTTAAAAGGAGTATAGCCGTACGGCTATACTATTTATAAATATATTAAAAAACAACAATCCCGAGTATAGCCGCGCGGCGTTACTTGTTCTTTGAAAAAAAAAGACTCGCCCGTGATTCGTTGCCCACGTGTCAAAAATGGTATAGCCGGCTATACTATTTATTAAAAAGACCCGTTAGCAATTTGGCGTTACGTGTCAATAACAGTATAGCCGTGCGGCTATAATATGCCTTTTTAAAACAAAAATCCCGAGTATAGCTGCGCGGCTGATCGCAAACCCAAGGCCCTCTCTCGCTCAAGCCCAAAAGAATACAGGGAGTGGCCTGTGTGTGGACTCCACCTTCTTCCCGCAATCTCGCTGGGGCTGATTGCCTGGTTTCAAATATCGTCAAAGCTCAGTCTCTCAGTTTCGACTGCAGCAAAACGACATAAGGGAATTGTGCGAAGAAAAGAAGAATGGATATGGAAGCACAGAGGTACGTATGGGACGGAGCAATTCCTTTGCAGATTCATCTCCATGAATCCGACGTCGCCACTCTCCCTGCTCCCCCACCAGCCCTGGTAAACTTATACGTCTCTCTCTTTCTCTCTCTCCTTCTTTCTTTAATTTCAAATTATGCGACCCAATTCTCATTTACCGTGACTGTTGCTGTAATTTGTTTCAGATCTTAGCACCTCGAATTGGGTACCTACCATTGTTGGCATCGCATCTAAAATCTCACTTCAGTAGTGCACTTCCTCCTCGGCTAGATACTATTTGGTTCGAGTACAAAGGCTTGCCCTTGAAATGGTATGTAATATGCTCTTATGATCATCAGATTTGTATTGACTACAAGGGTAGGCACTGGTTTCTTCATGCTCAATGCTTCTCTGTATTATCAAACACTGTTCTCATTCCATCACAGCACACTTGATTAGATCATTCACTGAATGGCTTGTCAAACTCTAAAAACCCAACTTCAAATAATAACGGAAATTTCTATTGTACCTTAATCAACTGCATTAGCACCTATTTCTTCTATTGTTTTGTTCATCATGGGTGCTTTTTCATGCCCTCTTTTAGCATATTTGTCTATAAAACGAAGTGTGATGATCTGCCACTTGATTTGGATGTTATGTGCCAGTGTAGTGTACAGTAGATTTTCAGTTTTGTTTCTAAGTATTCCACTTTTTGTTCAATATATGATCTTGCTAGCCCTAAACGTTTGTATCTAGAATTCACAGTGATGTAACTGATGGAGTAAAATAGTGAATAAATAGCATTGGTACTTTCCTATTTTAATAGGTCCTTGTTAGTTTTATTTGTTTCATAATATGGCAAGAGCTTCTTGCAGGTATATACCAACAGGAGTTCTATTTGATCTTCTATGTGCAGAACCAGAAAGGCCTTGGAATCTGACGGTAAAATTGTTTTTCTCCATTTTTCAAGTTGATGAGACTGCAATTAGTTTCTTGGAGTTAGGAGCTTAGGAGAAAAAAGTTTCCATTGAAGTTCGGTACTTTTTGTACAGCAGCTAGTATGTGAATCGTGATGTTCACTTGTTTCTGGTTGATGTAGTCTTGCCCAATTACATGCATAATTTTATTTCAGAATTTATTCTTGTAAAGAATTTTGGACATTGGAGCTTTTAATGCAGAAGTAGAGTTTAATAAGGTTGAATATTCTGGAATCTTTAATTTAATTCAAACTTAATAAATAAGAAATTACTTTCACAAAAATTTATTAGGCTGCTATGTAGCACCAAGAATGTGTCTTTTGTTTTGCTTATGGGGTGTTTGGAAAATCTCAACAATTGGTCAGCCGTGTTTTGTGGGGCCTGCTTTGAAATTTGTAATGAAATGAAAAATCCCCATTCTTGTTTGAACAAACTTGAGACCAAACTGTTTCAAAAACAAACCTAGAAAGAGTTGGTTTGCATTATCCAGTTTTCTATGATGCCCTATTTTTTTCCTAATCTCATCTTGTGCCAACATCCCACAACCATCACAAGTGCTACGCTGCTACCATGCTGCCACCATCATTGCAACTGCCACCCCTTTGATCTGCCACTTACCATTGGTGCCATCACCAGCATTTCCATTGCTACACTGTATCTGTGACTGGTACTACCATCACCACCATTAAGCCACTGTGACTACCACAACCATGTTGCTAGCACTGCCATCACCAGCTGTTAATGCCACTCTACCACCAATGACACCACAGTCGCTTTTTTAATTAAGACTTACAAGATTTTATTTATATGATATGTAATGTTCCAAATTTTTTGGGTAATGCTCTATTATTTTGGTCGGAGTAATGTTCTAAAGGTTATAAACCAACGTGGGGTTAGTTGGAATGGGTCAGGCCCATGGTTTGCTCCCATGTGGTCTGTGGTTCAAAACCCCAAAAGGTACCTACCTAGCTATATGCTAGTGTTTCCTGCCTCCTGAAGATTGTAGGGTGTGGCGGGGAACCCCAGTTTCAAACTTGTGTCTGCGAAGCGGATTGGTGGATTTCTGGGTATCAAAAAAGAAAAATGTTCTAAAGGTTATATCTTAAATTCTAAAATTTTGAGTTTAACAAACTAGTTTGGTTAACATGTTAATTAATCTCAACTAGATAAAGGATTCCCATACACCAAACTATGTATTTGGGTGTGGAGGATGAGATTTGGACCATGTAAAATGCTGTACAAGCATTTTATGATGTCAAAGTATACATCGACTTGAATGATGTTATGAATAGTTTCTAATGATCTTTCGACTCTTGTGCTCTTGATCGATCTCCTTTTCTTACATTACACATTTGTGGATTGGAAGTCAACTTTTGGTTCTTTGTACAGGTGCATTTTACAGGATATCCGGGGAACATATTGATTCCTTGTGAAGGTGAAGATAGCGTAAAGTGGAGCTTTATTAATTCATTGAAAGAGGTCGGGTTCTTACTTTTTGTTAGTTTCATATCTTTCTTGATAAAACTGTTCATTTCTTGCCATATATCACATGAGACTCAATTTGGTTTTACTGCTTAATCTGGGATCTGGTGACAATATTCATTGCAAATGCTTGTCTCACAATGTAGATGTCAGTTTAAATAATTTCTAATGGTATCTGTTACAACTGCAGGCTGCATATATAATTAATGGGAATTGCAAGAATGTGATGAACATGTCTCAACCTGATCAGGTGGAGCTCTGGCGCTCTGTCTTAAATGGTATACCTGCTAAAAAGAAAATTTCAGTTATCTTGTGCAAAATGTTTCTTGATTGACAGTCATTATAAGATGTAAATGGGTGTTCATTTTTATTTTGGATAGGAAACATAACTTTTGTGAAAAATAAAATATAGTCTTGTACATTTTTTGTTTTGCATACCACTGCACAGTTCCATCTTTCCTTCCTCCCAATGTCACTTTTATCATCTTGCACTTAATACAAGCAAGTATAATTTGCAATGTATCACGTATGATGTTCCTCTGTTAAGCTCTGTCAACTTGGTGGTCACCTTTCAATGACTACTGTTAGCTGCCTTGCCTCTGATCAGGACCTAATGAGATTGTGACGTAGTCTTCTGTCCTCCAAACAAAGATAATGTTCTTGATTAACTCTTCAATCGTTAGCCATTAATAACCTCCATTATCCACTGCAATTATGATGTTCTGTATACCAAACCCTGTTCCTTTACTACTTCCAGAAGAAAAAAAATACCTATTAATGGAGCCTCAGCTGCAAAGCCAAGAAGCAAGTAAATAATGTAAATATGATGGCAGTTCTCAATCATCTCTAGGTAGATAGAATATAATCCTTTCAAATCTTAAATATCAGGCAATGCAAAGATAGGTGATGTTGCTGACCATTATTTATGATAATTATCTTTCTAATCATCTGAAGTTGCGTGGTCACATGCTGATTGATAAATAACTCTTGTACATTTGTACTAGCTATTAGAGTATCTTCAACTACACTTGGATTTTGCCATATTTTTCTTTCAACATGGAGAGAAAAATAAGATTTATTATGATCATTTCATAAAGAGTAAAAAATGTGAATGCATGTATGTATTGATACAGGAAAAAAGATAACATGTATATGAAATAATACTGTCTTTCCAGACAATTTGGCCGGTTATGTTGCCAGCCTGTTTTTTATACTCAGTGAAGCATAGATGATCAGCCAAATACATGGCAAGAAATACCTTTTGTGTGTGGTTTACTGAGTTGGATTTCTGCCATGCTCTTATAACCCCTTAACTTTTAGTAGAGCTTCTTATTTATGTTTCGGAAGGGATATACAAAAGTCCACATATATCTGAGTGCACTATCTGAGTCCACATGTAGTTATATTTGGAATATGACTGTCTGATTTACTTCACATCAATTTTCATTTTAGTCATGAAATAACAATTTCCAAGATGAACCAATCCAGCTTATTCTCATCACAGAATCATCAACACTTCTGTTTTGTTCTTACATTGGGAAAACATTTACTCGGCGGATATTATCAGTTTAACATTTTGTATATGTGGATAAACTTTGCACCGGAGTGGATAAACTTTGCTTCGGAGTGGAATTCTGAGCATTCCTCATCAAATATTAGTATCAAGTTTAAGTTTTTACATGACGCTAACTTGCATTGAGAGTTTCATGCATGCATGTAGGTTCTTTGTGAAAACACATGGAAGTTAAGGTGGTATTTTAGTAATTTTGTGGCTTATGTATGGGTACCCCATTGCCCCATGCAGCCTTTTCCTCCCTTCTTTTTACCTTAGTTTCATCGTGTTGGGGTTGTAGTTATTATCTTATTTCTCTTTTCCGCTGTGAATGTGACTGTATCAATGAACCTTCTGTGCTTAATCACTCTCCAACACACATTTTGGTGCAGGTAATTTGGAACCCTACCGACGGGTGTCTACTAAACTTAAGCTTGGGACAGTTGGGGATGAATATGCAGCAAAGTTGAATTTAAGTGGTGAAACTGATTTTTCTGGACAAGTGAAGGCAGGTTAGCAAATTATTTAATCTTGTAGCTTGTTTTTGTGATAATTGTGTCCACATCTTCCTGTCAAATCTCTTTATAACTTCATATTGTCTTCCTAGCTTAAACCCTAGTCACTCAGCCCACATCTTTCTTCTAGCCCACCCAAACTCAGTCACAGAGATTTATTCCCTATTTAAAGGTACTGCCCAGCATCAATTCCACCACTGTCCTGATAAAAGGGCTGATATCAGTTCCTTACTTTTTATATACAGGCTCTGTTCGGGCTGGCCCATGTCAAATTCAGATGTGTTGCCGTTCTAGCTTTCAGATACAGCAAGAGGTTGTTTTACCTTGTTCTGCTTAGGAAAATTGTGGAGTTCTAGGCTTTTCAAAGGCTTAGGAGAATTTGTAGGGCCTAGTGTCGAAATGGTTTAAAGACAGATGGGTGGAACGTCAATAATTCATTTAGGGCAAAGAGACCCAAGGGATACTCAATCTGAAATTTCTGAAATAACTGCATAAAACTGCATAGAAAGACTCTTAAAAGAATATTTATTCTAGGGTGACAGCAGCCCTGGCATTATACCTCACTAAAAAGACCAAGAACATAACAATCAACTGCTAAAGTGAATATGACATAAAGTTCAAACAAGAAAAATAAAAGACAAGGAAACAAATATAAACCCAAACTAACTAGAACCAAGCCAAGTTGCCTAGTGGGCCGCCCACTTAGGGTTGGAAAGCTTCTTACATGTTCCTGTATCACTGACAGTTTAGGAGACAATCTGGGGCTGAGAACAGTACGAAAACATTGGTTTGTGTTGTTTGAAGCAATTCTGGTTATGGCTTAGTGTTAATCAAGTAAAGACTCACGTAGATATAGGGGTTGTAGCCTTTCACCTAAGTTTCCTTTTGTCCGACAGCTCGAATTAAAATTGGATGACGAAATCCTCAAAAGAGCTTCCTACTTTTGAATTGAACTGAAATAGTTACTTATGTATATGGATACACCTATAATGTTGCAATTAAATTTCAAATGATGGTGCTTTCCTAGGCCGAGTTCCAGTTCGCTTATACGTTTGGAGTGTCAGTGAGGACTTTGAAGATTTAGAAGATGCACCTCAGATTGATAGTTGGGATAAAGTTTCTTACATAAACCGGCCTGTTGAGATACAAGGAGGAGAAGGAGGTAAGAGAATTTTCTTATTTCTCATATGAACCTACCTCAGAAATATGTGTGGTAAATTCATGGTTTTTGTTTTTTTTTTTTTTTTTGCCTATTAATTTTTATTAATTCAATGCTATTTCTAGTAAGAGACAAGGATATTTTCATCAAGACAAAATAGACTTGGCTACCTATTAATATGGTCTGTAAAAATAGAAAGGAAACCTTTCATCAACTTTCTTGTGGAAGGCTTTATAGTGTTTCTGCAGTACTCCCATGACGTGTTTTGTTTTGGAATTGCATTCCACATCTTGTATTCTTAGTTTTCATGTCTGATCTGGGTAAGCTGGCAGGGTTTATCTGATTTGTGATTGCTATGCCGATCATGGTATCACTAAAGCCTTTTCCCTACACCATTATATATATATATATATCTGAACAAGTGAGAAAGAAAGATGTCTTTGTTACTCTGTGTGATACTTGTTTTTTGGTTTTAAGCACTCTATTTGTGATACAAGTTCATGAATCAAAGGGTCTTGTATTCTTTATTTTATTTATTTATGAGTATTTCCTACTTAAGAACTCCAAGGTGCCTTACACGGAAATCTATATGTATTCCTGGCTACTGCGGCTTATTCTTTGGTAGCTGTAGTTCCTTGATTGAATTAACTTATTTAGATAGGGAGAATGTACATCAGGTCAAGGTATAAATGGATTGGTGGCCTCGTCAATTTATTTATGAAATTGGCACCACTAAGCATGTCTGACAAATAATATTAGGGTTTCTAAGCTTTTAAGTTTTGACCAGGTTCACCTATGTTGCACTGCAGGTAGATGCTTCACTTTACATGATGCAGTGAAGAGCCTTCTGCCGGAGTATTTTCTTGACAAATCCTTGACCAATGAAGAATCATTGACTGTAGGTGATGAGCATGAACAAAGAGTTTCCTCTGAAGATGCAAGCAGCGATAGAAAGGCCGAGGAGGAAGTAGAAAACTCAAGCGAACATATCACGTCTTGCTATCAACATGATGATGCTGAAATCAAGCTAGTTCGTATCCAAGGTATTCAGCCTAAATTGGAGATACCATTTTCTTGGGTGGCAAACAACTTAATGAACCCTGAGCACTTTCTTCATATCTGTGTGTATTTGAAAGTTCCACAAGCCAATACCATGTCATAGGTAGGTTGCATATCAATTCAATTTCGCCATGTTATTAAAAACAAGAGGGGTGGGCATCTTCTATTGGCCACTTTGAAAGGCATTTACTGTATAAATGTACAGAAAGATTAATTGTCAATATATATATATCCGTCATCCACTAGATTTCCTAGGATATTCCTTTTTTCTCCTTGGTTCAATTTGATTCAGCGACTGAAATAAGAGAATTTGAAAGGAAGGTGTTTTGCTTTCATCTTGGCTCTTCTTTTTTTGTTCTGTCCAAGGCTCGTGAGATTTGTGTAGTGACAATGGATTGTACACCTTTAGTTGGAGTCAAGTACAAAGCACATAAGGTTAAGCAGCGTTATAGCCACGTGACCATGTCATTAAAGCACTTTGCAACATCGTGGAAGATTAATATCACTAGATCAAGAGTTAGTTGGTGACTCGTCTCGTAAAGGTTAAAAGCATGTCTAAAGTTGACCATTTGACGCGAAAAACGACAGTTACCATCAGCTCCAGACCTAAAACGTGACATTTGAAGATGAAGATCCACCTCACCATATGACCAGGACAATGCAGGATCATGAAGTCCAAGAATAATATTTTCTAAATTCTAGTAAAGCACTTTACACCAAAATCCATCATTTTAATTACTTTCATTCAAATGAACTAGATGAACACAGCGTGAGTGTGAGAAAAGAAAGTAAGATTCATGTAAGAGAGTAAGTTGGATAAAATTAAATTAGGTGAAATTACCTCTCAATCATGCATTATTCCACTTCATTAGTTTAGTCAATTTTGTCAAGCGCCGCTAAAATGGACTAGCCAATACTAAATATCAAGTTTACCACATATATACGTCATTCTCGCATTCATGGAAATCGAACATGAGATATCCTCAAACAAGTGGGGACAATTATCATTAGATAAAAAACAAGTAGGATTTTATTTACATAATTGAATTTAATTGAAACAGAATAAAGCACAAAAGGCTCTTGAGTAATGAGATCCCTACCCCATGTATGCGTGCATCAGAATTATTTTATTTATTTTGAGACGGAGATTGGTGGTGGTGACGTGCCCGAACCAGGAGCTCCATTCATACAAGTTCTTTTAATATGTGAAATTAATGCATGCAACCAACCCTACATACTTTATTAGCTTGGTTTTGGTTGAATATTTGTTTCTTGTCGATGATTTTAGAATCACCATGTACGTCACTACAAGATATTTATGTTTATATGTTTTTAACTTTTCCCTTGGATATGTGCTTATGCAAATCTGGCTTGTTAATCATAACTTCATAAGCATGTTTACCCACAATCTCACCAGCCCCAAAAACAGACTAGAAGATTGTACGAATTGCAAACTTGCCACTATTAGTACTGCAAAGAGCCTAATAGAAAGATGAATAATAACTTGTGCTTTAAGTAACCTGACTACCAACCAAGCCGCTATGATCTGAGTGGAGGAACTGACTAAGCTTGATTGTTCTTTTTATGCCTTCAACGATCTAGGGCAATAAGAACATAAATTTAGTTGAAATTAGGATTGATTACATTGGAAAATTCTAAGTAATCCGTACATAGGAGTTGTTCCTGCCCCCTACACCTCAGCCACCCTCCCTCCTTCTCCCCTATTTTCAAACTTCATCCATAGATCCATTATTTCTGCTGATAAATCAGCTCAGCTGGGAATAAGGAGGGGAGGGTGGCTTGTCGTTAGTGGGTGGGGTAGTTCACTAGGTTGATGCTTATTATTGAAACCATAATCAATTGGACATGGGGAAGGAATTAGGGTTCAATTTGTCAAGGATTGCAACGAATTTGGGAGGGAAGCCGGTGGGAAGTAAAAACTATATAAAATGAACATTTTGGCCTTAGATTTAACAAAAACTGGACGGTGTGAGAGAAAGTGAAGTTGAGGACTATAGGAGCCAATATTCAAGTTGGAGGACTAAAACGTAAATCATGTATAAGTTGATGAACCATTACTCCGAAAAACTCTAGGGGTTGGACTCAAAATGACAATTTTAGGGTTTTAGGGGCAAGGTCCCTGCAAATCGATATGACATAGTGAAGACGACATGGTGATAGTGTTGGGTCAAGTACAATACCAACGCATGAATTGCATAAACAAAGAATTATATATTCATATTTCATCTCATCTCTTTAATGAATATTAAAGTTGGAAGGTGTTTGCTTGTGTTCTTTCCCCTCTGTCTCCCATTTGTTAGTTGGAGTCAAAAGCCTCAAAGGCCACTAATTAGGTAATAATTGGGTTGAATTATATACAAAAGTGAATTGAAAATTTGAAAGTAGAGTGGTGTTATATATAATATATAAAGCTCTGATTGTCCAATAATGGCAGCATCCAAAATTCACTCTTCCTCTTCAAACAATTAAATAATAAGAGGATCTCAGGAGTAGTCTCAACCAAAAAAATAAGAAACAGAACGCATTGCACTGGTGGGTGTATGTGTCTGTTACTAATAATGTATGTGACTGAAAGTGAGCTACAAGCTAATATAAACTACAGTCCAAAAAAGCGCTTACAGGCTTTAAGGATCTTGCCTCCTTTGTGCTTTTTCTTCATAGATCTTGTTGTCCCCCAAGCAGCAGCTTGATCTTCATCATCATCAATGGGTGATGATGTTAATGTTGTTGTAGACTGGTCATGGATCCTGCAATACCTCTCTGACACTGAAGAAGATCTTCTCATTGAGAATGCTGCTTTGAATGCAGACTGAAATCCAGAAGCAGCTGAAGAAGAAGAAGAGGAGATGGAGTTGTTCCTTTTCAACACCACCACACTACCAAAGCTCTCTCCAACACTGTTGTCTTGTTGTTCATCATCTTCATCTCCTTTCTGATCTTGGGTTGTGCTGTTTTTCTTGATCTGGAGATTGGTTTCTTGGGTTTTCTGGGTGGGGTTTGTGGTGTTGGATTTTTGAGTTGGGGAAAATGATACAAGATCTGAAAAGTCTATGGATCTTGAGTTTTGGGAGTGCCTCATGATGTTGATCTTGGAATATCTATCCATTTTGGTGTGTGTTGAAAATGGAGGTGTGGCTTGTGAATACAGATAGCTAGCTAGCTAGCTAGAAGTATATACACCAGAAAGAAGAAAGAAGAAGAGAAGAGAAAGAAGAAGAGAAGAGAAGAGAAGAGAAGTTAGAGGTAGAGCTTGAATTGGCGGAGGTAGATGGTAATTTGCATTTGCTTATAAAGACAATGGAGCTTTGGAAAGTGGGGCCTGAGAGTGTGGGAAGGTCCAAAGGATGGGGTATAGAAGGTGAGCAGAAACTGGAGACATGATGTGGATGAGAAGACTCGTGAGTTGAAAATAGCTATAGGGTAGATTCCTAACCATCTGGTGTGCATTCAAAAGTGAAAGATGTCAGATTTGGCAACATATTGATAGTAGGTTTATTATTATTATTATTATTATTATTATTATGTATGTAAAACAGTGCATTTCTTTTTATGATAAATAGTGTAGGAAGTTTGGTATTGGACCATCTCCAATGCATTTATACCATCTTGATCTTTGACCCCAAAAAAAAAAAACATTGGGATTTTTTTATTTATAACATTTTAACTTAAAGAAGTTGAAATTCCAAAAACATAATTTTATTTCACTTGAAATGAAAACAAGTACAACAACGTTTAAAATGAAAACGCGTACAACAACGTTGAAAATGAAAACGAGTATCACATGACTTAAATTAAAAACAACATCAACCGTAAGGACTTGTAGTTTGAGATCTTAGGTTCGATTCCCCCAACTAAACACACAAAACACTTTCACAGCTTCTCCTCCCAATTGTCAATGAGTTTGGCATTATAGTCAGGGTTGAACGGTTGTTAGAATCTAATGGAGTATACATTACAAAAACAACATAAAACCTTTAAGATTGGAAGGTTTGAAACGACTCATGGTTTAATGTTCAATCCAATTTAAAACTATAGATAAAGCTAATTGATAAATCTTGAGAGAATATTTAATTTAAAAGTGATGAAGCCGAAGAAGGGCTAAAGATCAGCCCAAGTCATCTTGGCTGTTCTATTATTTTATCTTATTTTTTGGGTTAGACTTTGACTTTGTTTAGGAATGCTTTTTTGGTGCTAAAAACGTTTTTAATAGCGTCTAGCTGAAACAGTTAAAAGTACTTCCGAGTTTAAAAATACTTATCCAGTATACACTTTGATTTTTAACAATTTTTTGACATATTTCTAACCAAAGAAGACTTGACAAAAGTATGCCCAAACAAATCATTTCTCATCCATTTCAATCGACGAGATGCGATGTCTTTTTTTTTTTTTTTTTTTCTTTTTTAACTCTTTCTCATACTCGCTTTAGGTATAGAAATCATGATGAAGAACCTTCCCTTTTACCAAAATCAAATGGGAAGTGAATGGTTGACCTAAAATTTTGTTTACAACTATTTTGATGCTTCAACGAATTTGTGAAAGGTTGAATTGGGGTAAGATGAGTTGCCAATAAAGATCCCATCTAGAGTGACTGGTGGTGGTGCAATATGGTGGTGATTAGGTTTCGGATTTCTTTTTTTCTTTTTTTCTTTTTTTCCGAAGTTAGGAAGGGGAAAAGGAAAAAACTCACACATACGGGTACCATGAAGGCTTTAATCCAGGACCACTTGGGAGCGCACCAAGGGTCTGGGCTAATCCAACTAGCACCCCATTGGTATTACATTTGTAGGGAGGCTAGAATGAAGGGTTATAGTGAGGGGTTATAATGAGGGTCCTTAATAGCTGTCTGATCTAGTCTTGTAAAAATTGTCCAAGCCTGATGGGCTAGTCTAAACTAGGCCCTACTTTTTGGGCTATGGGCTGGCCCAACTCGGTATTATGGGCTTATTACATTAGATTTTTTTTCATATTAACTTCGTATTCTGACGACATTTAGACTTTAATTAATTATATATGTGGCCTATTTGATAGGGCCATATAGGGCCGTTCTTGAGCCCGAAATTTTTTGACCCTTGGGTAGGGCCTAAGCTTAGCCTATTTTAGATAGGGCTAACATGTTCAATCCTTAGAGCCAAAGAAGCCCGTAACTAGATAAAACTTGAGCAAACCCTCAAGAGGGCTCGACGAGCCCATTTTACATGCCTATCTACAAGTATCGAACTCAATAAGTGGAGTTACATAATGCAGGGAGAGAGAAATACAAATTGAATTAGTAGAAGAAAGGCAAGCCCTATTTGATTACAAACCAAATGCCTCACGTATTTGTGGTGCCTTATTTTGAAAGACTAGGCGATTGCTTTGTTCCCAGCAAACAATAAAACATTTAATTATATAGGAAGGTGAAAGATTATACCATCGAAACCATTCTATAATATACTCATTTTCAGGCAAGTGACAATTTTTTGTCCCAAAAAACTTAAAGTGACAATTATTCTTAAAATTAAAATTTTGGTGAAAATATAAATAGAAAGTGTGCCAAGTTGAGATTTGGACAATTTATTTGTATTTGTTGGTCAACTAGCAATTAAAAGTTCTTGACCCAAAAAAAAATAAAAAATAATACATTGGGGGCCCACTGTTCCTTCCCCATACATTTTCTGGTTCTCATAACAACAACTCACGAGTCAAAAAAAATCTTTCAAATTCGGTCAAACCGCACAACACAAACTCTCTCTCTCTATCTCTCGCCCTCACTCACTCCCGTGCTTTTCGCACATTTGACATACATCTCTCTCTCTCTCTCTCTCTCTCTCTCTCTCTCCGAGTAGGGTTCCGAAACCCTAGTCCTCGAGCCAGGGTTTTGTATAATCGAAGCCGAATCTCGCACTGGCATTGCACAATTCGCAAGAATTCCGAGTAGAACGACTACGTTTCAGCTCTGTTTCCTGCTAGTTCCATTTCTAGTTTGAGCTAAAAAAATGTATTGCATCCGCGTAATTTCTGCAAAATATTCATACATTTACTCATTTAATTACACTTTTTGGTTAGCTCGAACTTGAATTGTTTAATGTGAGCTATATTTTCAGCTTGGATCTGGTTTCTGTGTAAAATTTGTCAACTTTTCAATACTTTTGAGCTGAATTTATGGACTTTAATGATAGCTTCTGGATTAGGACATATGCGAAGCTGTATGTTGAGTTTTTATAAACTTATATTGTGAAAAATGCAGACTTTGGATCTTTGTTTGGTGAAAAATAGCGATGTGCTGAGTGATGGCGCTTAAGGTTCCAGCTCCAAAAGCTGCTGAGATTGCGATTGCATCAATTGGGCATGGATATGATATATCCATCGATTTAAGGCTCAAGTACTGCAAAGGAGAGTCGTACACTTCTAGATTGATTGAAATCGATGACGATGGGGGTCGTGAGATTGTTCTTCCAGGTGGGATTACAATCCCCAATGTTCCCAAATCGATAAAATGCGATAAAGGAGAACGCACACGCTTCAGGTCCGATGTTCTCTCTTTCCAACAGGTATCTTCAGTTGTTCTCAATCCCAATTCTCACATGTTTCGGTGTGCATACCACCATTGTAGTTTTGTTATCTAAAATCTAAAGTCTAATCTTCATATGTGTGGCCTGTTTTTAAACAGTTGTACACATGGATACAATACAATCTAGCAAAAATGTTATTTGTATACAGTCTTTTATGCTCGTTTGATGATTATAGTAGTTTAACTAACACAAAAATGGACAAAACCATGAGATAGCTGAATGCTGATTACCCAGTCCTCCCTGCCCCAAGAAAGGAACAAAAAAAGTCCTAGTGCGAAATCCAGGCTCCTTGTTGTTTGGTCATGGGGATTGGGTGGTGTTAGGCTGGATTTCCAGTAATGAACAAATATTTGAATGCTGGGTTGCATACCCTTAAAAGTACCAGAGTAGCTTCTATGTTAAGATACTGCATTAGATTCTCCTAAGTAAATTTTATTTGTCTATTGTGATTTTGCTTTAAGCATGTAAAGTCGTAGAGCAGAAAGTGAATTTGCTGCCTTTTATTTATTTATTATCTCTCTCGTTTTCTCTCTCCCTTGCAGATGTCAGAGCAGTTCAACCAGGAAATTTCATTGACTGGAAAAATACCCTCAGGTCTTTTCAATTCTATGTTTGAATTCTCAGGCTGTTGGCAGAAAGATGCAGCTAACACTAAGACACTTGCTTTCGATGGGGTGTTCATCACTCTCTATACCGTTGCACTGGAAAAATCTCAGATGGTACTACTTGATAACGTTAAAAAAGCAGTCCCATCATCATGGGAACCTGCTGCATTAGCAAGGTGAATTACATGATAACATTAGTGTCTATCTACATGCTGGGTTTACAGAGTTTTTGAGCAAATGATAACATTAGCGCTGATCTACGCGAAGCTCAGTCTTTAAAGCTTCATGTCTTTAATTCTTACTACAGTTTATTGACTTCTGATAGGAAGCTTGTCTTTGTAATGTACTTTTCAAATGCTATTTGATTTGCCTATGCCATGCACATACGTGCCTTGCATAAGGAGGTATAAAAAGAGAAAAAGGGTAAGAACCATGGCTCATAAGGCTTGTCCAAAATATTTATTTAGTTTTTCCAAGCAAGTGAATTTGATTTGTTTGTGAAATATTTAGGGTAAGAACCATACTTCATCAATTCATTTTTAGCAGAATTCTGTTGTACTTGTACCATACTCCCGCACTTCAGTGTTTGGTTATGTGGTAACAAAGTGGACACTAGGGTTGGTCATATTCAATGATGCAAATAACTGACAAGATTCTTCTTTCTGGTTCTGTGCCAGCTAGGAAATATTTTTGCATGGCAAACATTTTGTTTCAAGAAATAACAAGTGTGCTTTGTTATTAAAGAACTCTTCTTAACAATCTTCTCATGTATAACCAGAGGTGTCAACAGCTTTGTAAACTTTTCCTTTCTTTTTTGACTTATTTATTGCCGTTTATGTCTAGAGCTTTTATTGTCTAGGGAATGCAAGAACCTCTTTACATTAATGAGCATCTGTTGCCCGAGGATCTAGATTATGTTCTGGAACTAAGAAATAACTTTAGTATTCACGTTGCCAAGGAAACACCTCATTAAAAGACTTGCCAAAATTAAATTGCATCCAATGCAAGGGACCTTAATTATGTTTCATGGTCATGCATATTCCTCACGGTTGTCAAGTGAAATAACCAATTTTCATGTTGATGTTTTTACTGGTTTGATCTGTATGGCATCTGTAAAATGCATAATAGGTGGGGTTGAGTCTTCTTACCGTCGAGAGTTATGATCTCTATGTCTCTTGATGAACACAATGTTATGATATATCTTCTTTCTTTTATTAGTTTTATTTTATCCAAGTCTACTGTATTCAAACTTGAAAACTGGAATGTGTTTTTTTATAGTTCATGTTCATTCTAGGTTTATAGAGACATTTGGAACCCATATTGTTGTTGGTGTGAAGATGGGTGGGAAGGATGTTATATATATGAAGCAGCAGCATTCTTCAACTCTTCAACCAGCCGATATACAGAAAAAATTAAAGGATATGGCAGATAAAAGGTTTTTAGATGCAAATGGTCAGTATGGTATGCCTTCGGAACAAGGTTACAAGAATTACAAGGTTCGTAATGCATCTATGGTACTTAATTTAGTTCAATGTTTTAATTTTAGCATCTAAATTGTTTCAATCAGTAGTATATTTATACCTACAATCTGATTCCTTACAGTGAGTTTGGTCTTTGGACTGCTAAATAACTATTAGTTTTATTTCTTAATTCTTTCAAAGGATTCCTGTCTGTTTGGTCAGACAATAAAATTGCTTTTCTTAGTAGATGGCATGAAGTAGTTCTGAATCTACTGACCTGTTTATAAAAAGAATGGATTACAAAGTATTTGAAGGTTAAAGGTTAATATCCTTTGTTCTGGATAATTTTGAATCTTGGTACTCCAGAGTTTCGAGTGATTATATGTGGGATAGATACAAGGATGTATCCTTTCCTAGATGTGTCAAAATTCCTGAGTTGATATAATGAGTTGAAAAGAAAACCTTCATAGTAATTCATATTAGATTATGACTTGAAAATCTATTTCATTTTCTTAAAGTTTTCATTTGTGTGACACATGTGACATTATTCAGTGAAGAAAAAGCCTGTTGAAACTGGATTACCAAAGATTTGCAAAATGGTCATTATTGTTGAATAAAATTATTCTTTTGGATGATTTAGGTTATATGGAAGCATAAGTTGATGGGAGTTGTGGTGTTTTTAGGCATAGGTGCTGAAGTAATAGTTATTGCTATTTTGTTTTGGCGGGGATTTATTGTTTCCTTGTCCTTGTGGGATTTGATTTTGGATTGCCTAATATAATTCTTTTTATCAACAATGGATTGCCTTAAAAAGTTATTGTCTGAATTAGTTACGTATCCTTCTTTCCCCTTCAAAAGGAGATCTTATCTTCTTCTTTTTTTCTCAGTTTGAAATCAGGGAGCAGAGGTTGCGCTTTGCAGATACTAGTCCATCAAGTTCTTATTCACGCAAGGAAGTGCGTTTTATTAAACCTCGTTCATTGTCTGACTGAATTCATTGGTTATCTTATCAGATATCTTTGTAAATCTTACTTTTTTAAATTGTGCATCTTTGTATTTTGTCACTAAATTACTTTAGTTGCAGGATATTGTAAGCATTTGCAAGAGGAGGGGTGGAAGTGATACGAGAGATCTATCGCATAATGAATGGTTGCAAACTGTTCAGTTTGAACCTGATGTAATCGCGATGTCATTTATACCAATTACCTCTCTGCTGAATGGAGTTCCTGGGAGTGGATTCTTGAGCCATGCCATAAATCTTTATTTACGATGTAAGCAAAAATTATTCTGTTTGCGTCACTGTTGCATTTGATTTTCTATTTACTGCATTTAAAAATTTTGACTCTCATTTGTGCATATCATATCTATAGATAGTTTGGTATGTTAGGTTGCCAGAGTTTCAGTCCAAATAATTGATGAGGCAGAATCTTGTTTGGATGCATGGTATAGATTCACAGTGTGGCAGCATGTCATATATTTGGAAAGAGAACATGGACTTGTGTTTGCACATGCCATAGGAAGCTGCTTATTTACATTTATTTATGGTTTGTTAAGTTTTAGGAGTCGGGAGTTCTTCTGCTGGAGATGGGCTGTTGTTGTGACCCGTAGGTCTAATTTCAGGTTTCTAGCCTTTGATGCTTGTTCAAGATTATGTGCAATCCTAATCTGAGATGCCATAGGTTGGGATGGGCAATGGGTACCCATTTTGTGTTAGGAATTGGTGGCGGTGATGGTGACGGTTGTGTGACCTTTGTATACCCGTTGCCCGTCCCTGGTGCTAGGACTCAAATCCACAACCTCCCTCTTAAGGGGAAAGGCACTGCTGTTTAACAAGGGTCAGTGGTTTTCTATCTATTTTACTAGACGAAGTTATGCAAATTCTCCAACTTCCTGTCACCGCGAACTGTTAATTCCTACCTTAAAAACTGTGAGTCAGCCTATTCAAAAACTCTAGAATCTACAAGTAGCCAACTTAACTTCATCGGCACTCTTTACAGCCCTTAAAAGCCCCAAGCTAAATTCTTTTTCCATCCCAGCCAAATCTCTAAGACTGCAGTTGTCTTTCCTAAACGTTTTTCTAAATATGACTTTCTTGGAAAAAAAAATTCACTTTGTTTGGTATTGATTTGTAATTTTTTATAGTTTGTGAAAGAAACTAAATATAGATCATTAATTTACCGAGATTTTGAGTTTTTGAAAGCATCATTTCCTAAAGTGAAACTATCTCAGATTTTCATGTGTAGCTTCTAAAACCTTTTATTTGTAGTTTCCAGGAAAGTATCCTCCACCATGTTTTGTTTTCTTTACTTTTAGAAGAATAAAATATGAGCTATTGGGAAATTTGATGCCAAAAAAAAAAAAGAGGTGTCTGTTTAAGTGATGAAGCACTCTAGCATATGAATGTAGTGGCCATGCATATACTGCCTACAATGGAATATTGGGGCCAATTTGTTTTGACTAAGAGGAGATTACACCTTCCAAAACCGATTGTGCTTTTCTAATGGATATTGCACATTTCTGTTATGAAAGCGTGCGCAAACAGGAATCAAGTTTTAAGAGTAACTTAGCACAATTGTTCCATTAATGGAGAAACACCTTCTGGAGCTAAGCAGTTTATAATCTGTAGGGCTGGTCCACAATATTACAGGATAATTTTTTAGCTTTGCAACAGATTCAAAACATCATCTTTTTTTCTTTTTTTTTAATAAAGAAAAGAAACAGGAGTAAATTTCAGTTCTGCTCCTATCTTGCAGATAAACCACCAATTGAAGAGCTCCATCAGTTTTTGGAATTCCAGCTGCCAAGGCAGTGGGCACCAGTTTTTAGTGAACTTCCTCTTGGTCCACAGCGGAAGCAACAAAGCAATGCATCTCTACAGTTTAGCTTAATGGGGCCCAAACTTTACGTTAACACCAGTCTGGTAAAGTATCCCCATGCTTACCTTTTTTTTCTTCAGAAAGATAGAAAAGAAAAAATCTGTTGCGACTGAGTGGTTTAAAATACATTTTTTATGTTCATGGGACAATTTTTTTATCGTGTTGAAGTTAAACCAGTCATTCATCCATTAACTCTAGAAACTGTTTTATTCTGTCTATTTTTAGAACAGAAGGTAATAGAAAACTTTTGTCACCCTGTTCTCATATCTTTTTTGTTTGTTTGGTCAATCCCTGTTCTCGTATATAAGTTCTGCAATTCTCTGAATTGATAATGGCCTCTGTTTGAGTGGTGATTTACTGTCTTCGCATTTGTCATGATGCTCCACTAATTCCATGACATAAACTATACCATCTGATTATTGAGCAGAAAATAGAGAGAGAGAATGTGATGTGAGTACTTGGCATGCTGAAAACAGTTTTCTTTCTGGCAATTATTATTTGTTATACGTTGATATCAGGTTGACGTAGGAAAGAGGCCAGTGACTGGTCTGCGGCTGTACCTAGAAGGCAAAAGAAGCAACCGTTTGGCCATCCACTTACAACACCTATCCTCTCTTCCAAAAATCTTCCAACTCGAAGATGATCCAAATGGAAACTTCCGTCGTGATTCCTATGATCGTAAATACTACGAGAAAGTCCAATGGAAGAACTTCTCTCATGTCTGCACTGCGCCTGTGGAGTCTGATGAGGATCTTTCAATAGTAACCGGAGCCCAGTTACAGGTTGAGAATTATGGAATAAAGAATATCCTCTTCTTGAGACTCCGGTTTTCTACTGTTTTCGGGGCTACAGTTGTAAAGCATCCTGAATGGGATGGATCACCAGGTTTGGCACATAAATCTGGACTCATATCAACACTAATCAGCCATCATTTTACAACAGTTCAAAAGCCACCTCCGCGGCCAGCAGATGTGAACATAAATTCTGCTGTTTACCCTGGGGGTCCTCCGGTTCCCATCCAAGCTCCAAAGCTTCGGAAATTTGTTGATACAACAGAGATGACAAGAGGGCCACAAGAGACTCCAGGTTATTGGGTTGTCTCTGGGGCAAGGCTAGTGGTTGAAAAGGGCAGGATATCACTCCGTGTGAAGTATTCTTTATTGACTGTGATAGTACCTGATGAAGAGTTGGAGGGACATTAGCTCATTCTGGTTTTTGTCAAATTAAAATGGAAAAGTTCGAAAGAAGAAAAGAAGTTACATGGTATAGATGTATGGTTACTAAGAGGAGGAAGAACAGTGTGGATGTGAGAGGGTGAGGGTATTCGAAATCGGAGGGTTAGGATTCGTGTATATTTCATTTCTCACCTCTGATGTCATTTGTTTTGAATGTAGATTTTTCTGATCATCACAAGTTCATAACAGGGCAGGGTTCTGTCATTTGCAAATTTATCTGATGTAAAATTTTGGGTGGGGTATATGAGCTGAGCTTTCGGCTTTCAATGGTTAGTGGGTTGGGTAGGCTTCTGCCATGGTGTCTAGATTTGGATGAATTTACCATAACAGAAGAGGGGGTTTGTCTTCCTTGTAAACATATAGGGAAAGTGAATCAAAATCCATTTTTGCATGGAATTGACATTACTGAAAATAATCTCATTTTACAAGTTAAGCTCCTAAATCAGTTACGCCTTTGAGTTATTCCGCAAGACAATTTTCAATTCTTGTGTTTCTACAAAAATTTCTTGGATAAATCTACAATATTGTGCACCCCTCGTGCGACTTTAGGCTTATAATGAAAAAGTCAGGTTCATAAAAAAGGCCCAAAGCATGGCTGCTCAGTGTGCTGAGAGCCTCAGTTTTGATCCATTGACCCTCTTCTAGCATGCTAGCTTTTTAATAAAAACCAAGAATTCTGTAGTGAGGGTCTTATCTTTGTCTAATCCAATGATTAATAGATACAACCTCATCTAAGGCCCTCATTACAGAATACCAGGTGGATTATTTTTGTATCTTACATTATCTGTATATCTCAATCAAACTCTGCGCACTTGGACTCGAGTTTTAATTTTTCAATTATGCAATTACTTCCTTCTAATTCAACTATTTTGCCACACAAATTTGAAGTGAGCAATAATATTCTTCGGAAAGAGAAGGGGAAACCACAGAATACAGCAAGAAATATCTGATTTTTGACAACAGTCCATAGTTGAATGCTGATTATCTGGTGAAGGATAGTATGTTCTTGCAGAAGACGGCTTTTAATAGAAAAATTTAGTATGGAACTGAAGAAATATGACCATTTTGTAGATATACAAACAGCCCCAGTAATTATAATGCCGCAATGGAAGTATGTATGTCCTAAGGAAGTACAAATTTATGTTCATGGGAAGGCCAACAAATCCCTTCCCTAGAGCAGGAGGGGAGAGGAGCGGGCTGGGCAAGGTAGGTAGGATACTGCTGTCCTGGCATCAATACTGAGAAATCGGGCGCATAAGATGTCGAAACCTGTAAGATGAACAATCAAGATCAGCTCAAACAAGTAGATGAAGTAATTAGAAGAGTTCACATTTTAAGGCTAGGTTGAGCTCAGAAAATTGAGAAATCTCAATCATTTGAAGTACAGAGAGCTAGCAGAAGCAGGCATAACTTGGGGAGAAAGGACAGTGCAAAAAGTACTCAATCTAAAAACTCCCCTGTTCTTGTAGAAGAAAAAAAGGTGAAATGCAGGTGAAGATATAACAACTTGGAATGCTAGCAATTTTGTCATTCATGATAAGAAAGCACTTTCTTTTTTTTTGCATCAGAAAAATTAGAAGTCAGATTTCTCTTCCAATTATGGAAGTAAAACTAGTACTTAAAAGGGAATGGAGAACATTAAAAATACGAGGGTTTGAAATCAGATTGGAACATATTAAACACAACATAAAATTCCTCTTATGTAATTACTTCAAGAGCAATATGAAGTAGGAACTTACAGTTTGTGGAATTCCATGCTTCTTAAAAGTGCCCGACTCTAGGGAACCATGAGTTGCGCCTTCAGGTGTGGAAAAGGAAGGACTTGGCTTGAACAAATGTTCAAAGATGGCCATGATAAGAAACATAGATATCAAGATAGCTGTGGCAACAAATCCAAAAGAAATGGCATTCATGGATGTCCCAGAGCTTTTCCATTGCACTTGCCGATCAATTCCTGCTTGAGACGGGCTTGAGTCTGAACTTGTATATATGTTCCATGGTTTTGCTCTTGCAGAACCAATCTCGTTCATAGTCCCACTCACTAGGTTTTTGCTTCTCCCCTCCTTAAAGCTAATTTTGGGGTGAAAGAGGGTTGGGGTATTTGCTATGGATGCTGTAAGAACTAATTGGTGAGAGTGATCAAATGCAGGCTTCTAGCTAATTCAGATGTTGCTAACATTTTGATTCTTCTATAAGATTTTCTTTGCACATGTATGTTGACGCCTCAAGCTGAAAAAGAAAACATGAAAAAAGACCTTTAACATTCTGATATAAGGATGATTCAAAACCAATGTTGCAAGAAATCACAGTAAAGATGTAGAAAATAGAAAGAAAAGAAAAATGTAGCTATTGCCTCTTTAAATACCAACAAAAGAGAAGCTCTAGACTCGTACAAATGCATTGATTATGTCAAGTACCATTAAAGGCACAATATTGGTTATATTTCCTGGGGATGAGTAGTGAAGAAGGCAATCCACATAGATTATGACATTACCATTCTGATCTAGAAAATCAACTTCGGAACTCTGGACAACCACTCATAAAGCAGTAAAATAAGCAAAGAATTGAAACATTTTCTGGAAGAATATTGTATGATAGTTCAAACGGTTTAAGGATTTCTTCAAAGTCGATATCATGAATTTAAGCTACAAATAATCTTTCATAACTTGGAACATGTGATATTTGTACGCTTAAAAAGATAATTGACCATGAGGCCTTTCACGATCACCAGACTGTCAATGTATCTTCAAATTTCTTATATTTCTCTGGGGAAAAATTTCACGACACTCAGCTGAAAACAATACTATGCTTAAGCTCCAAAACAGGTCAAAGAAAACCTGAAAACAGACGAAGAAGTCTAAACGTGTCAATTGCTAACTTAAAGGCACTTGACTGCTTCAGGGCACAGGAAGAAGGAGAATGAAAAGTACAGTTTGGACAGAAAAAATGTTGAGTAGCATTCTGGAAACTGCTTAAATAGTACACGTTTTATGATAGTCATCATCAACACTTTTTGAGTATTTTTTCCACCAAGAAAAAGGACAGATTTCCTTCAGTTGAAATTTAAAAACCAATTCATAGAAGTGTTTGGCAAGATTTATACTTGGTCCAAAAACATTGAACCCAAATAACCAGCCTACTCAATTAAAACAAAGCAAGCCTGCTTCCGGACACTCGTAGAAAGAAGGCAATTATCACAATCATCTCCAAATAAGAAATGTACACACAAAAATATTCATTGCAGAAAGGGTGACTCTAAAAATGGACTTAATTGAGTGTACTCTGCTTATAATATGAGGTAAAAATCAGTTCAACTTCATTTCTAACAGACCTGGGTTCTAAAATGGAAGACAAGAGTGAACCCAGCACACCATTTTCACTCACTTGTTCCTAATTTTCATTCTTTGAGAAGCTAATGGAGAAGCAAGTTAAGTTAAATGAGTGAAGTGAGGTGAGGGTATAAGAAATTATAGATCATAAGCTGGGCTTAAAAATGCAAATGAGATCAACACAAAGAAAAAAATAACACATACCAAGAAAAAATTTCAACAACAAAAAGTTGATGTTTAATGAGTCCTCTAGACTTACCTGGTCTTAGAAGCACTAAAGCCATTGATTTTGGTTCATACATATAGCAGCAACCATAATCTTAGTCTACGATTCCATAGCTTTGCTGCTATGAAAAAACAAGACACCAACACTTCTCAATGCATTACTTAAAGGAAGCAGCTCACCCAGCTTTATAATATCTCATAGAAAATGTAAAGACAAAGTTATATGAAAATCCCATTGGCGCAACTTTTCTTTTTTATGGTTTGATGTTGATGATCCTGATGCCTAGCTTAATGGATACTATACCTTGTCTGAAGAAGCAAACTTAAAGAAATCAAAAGAATGGGCCTCCCTGTCTGTGTAGCCAAAAACAAGAGTGGGGCACATTGGTGCTTTTTAAAAGTTGACAACTTTTTTTAAGTGCTAAATCTTCATTTAGGTCGCAATTTGTAATTCTAACCCCAACTCATTAACCCACATGAACCCATCTGCCTCTTGGTGGAAACTAGCAGAGAAGCTATGATTTCTCAGCCATTCTGATCATAATTAACTGCATTCTCTTTTCATAAACTTATGAATTAGTAAAAGATTATATGCATCAAGTGCTTAACCATCATGCACAATGCACACATATGATCATTCTAAGTTTCTAACTATCATTTAGATTCAACATAACAAATAGGAGAAAATCCACACGGTCAGGCCAGCTAGACAAAGATTAGAGTTGATAAAAAATTACTCATTTTTGTGGAACCAATTTTATGAACTTTTCTTTTGGTTCAAAAGTCACAGAGATAGCATCAATGACTAACCCAATTCAAATCCAACATTAACATTTGAATGTAATCATGGAAAGGTGACAATATCTCACATAATCTCCAATAATTACCCACTAAATAAAAGAAAGAGAGAAATAAAAAGAAAGAAAAAGCTGCTACAGATTATTAAAACAACCTATATGCAACTAAAGGCTGCTGCAATTTGCAAAGAGAAAGAAAGAAGACATAGGCATTGATTTTTAGATGGCTTTGCCAAATTGGCATTGAATAGGGTTTTGGGCTAAAGCACACACACCTAACAAAGCCAGAGGTTATGAAAATACCAGAAAAAGAGAAAGAATTCGAAATGAAATAAATATTTAAGGTGGGTGGGAAAGAAAGAAAGAAACGTGGAGAGAGAATCAATGTTGGATAACTTACAGCTGTGCTGTACCAGATGAGGAATGATTCAAGAGAAGAAAGAAATGGGGTGAGAGGGGTAAGCATAGCAAACATAAAGAACAGAGCTACAGAAAAGAGGTGATATATACCACATTTATTTATTTGTTCATCATATTTTCTTAAACCCATGACTTTTGTTTTGTCAGAATCACTAAAGCCAATACCTGTATTCTTTGCAAAATCCCAGTACACTCAAAGCAAAATTTTGCAGGAAAGGACCATACTGTCTCACTCAAAGCTAAATTTGAAGTAAATAGTCACTCTCTCAATCACAAAAAAACGATAATCCAACTTAGACAACCAGGACTCGAACTTAAAATCTCTTTCAACATTATCATCAGACTAAGAATCAGAACTAGTTTATAAGTTTACGGGGAAATGGGCTTGTTAAATTACCTGTAATCCAAGAATGCTTTACCCAAAAAAAAATAGAAATAAAATCTGGAAGTGAAGAAATCAAAATATAATGAAAAAAGTAAGCCTAGAGAGTGCATACATTCATACATACATACATACATATTACACATAAAGAATATATTAAAGTATATGCAGAGAAAAAGGAAGAGGGGTAAGCTTTGCCTTGGTAGTAGGGGGGTTTTGTTTGTTGCCGTGAACCCATTGAGTGCGAGGCTTTTGTCAACAAGGCCATCACCATGTCTGAGAATGATGTGAAAGGCTATCTAGACTACTCTTTCATATTCCTAATATTGAGAAAGGAACCATCATTTTTATCTAAAAACAATCAAATGCAAACAACAACAGTATAAAGTGAACATCTTGTTAACTTAAACAGTGCATAAAAGTTTCAGAGCAAACAATAAAAGTGCACAACTAATTCCAATAACTTAACCTTCTGGCCGGATTTTTTTTTTATTTTTTATTATTATTATTTTTTATACAAGTAATATTGGAATATGGGGATTCGAACAAAGGACTTGGGGTGGGTGAGGGAGCCCCTTGCTTACCTAGATTTTTTTCACTCTTTTTATCCAAGGTCTGCTGATAAACTCTTCATCTTCCTCGCAATTTAATTATAAGTTATAATAAACAAAATTAGATAAAATTATGAATTCAAAGACCAGTTAAATTAAAAGTGTGCTAAAATGCCATGTCAAATCAGAAAAAGAGAAATGAAGTATGATTCCCTTTTTAATGAAATTACCCATTTCATCACATGAAAGATGGTTACTTTTGATTTCCATGTAAGACATTTCCACAAAGCAAAGCAAAGGGACCCCCATGAAGAAAAAGCACACTGAAGCACAGTTGAAAATAGATTGAAACGCATAAGTTTTTCTTTTCCTTGGAGACTTAGCAAGCAAAACAATTTAAAATTATCTTCTCATACCATAGAGTCTACAGTCAAAAGGAAATGAATGCACAAAGAATTTGCATGGGAAAAGAGTTGAAACAACTTGTTTTGCTTTTTCATATCACCTTCATAAGTTTTGCTATTTTCTCTCTTTACTTTAGGCATACTCAGTAATGACCCCCACTTTATTCATGATCTTCATAAGGAAACGTATGAAGGATAAAAAAGAAACAAAGATGGTGCACCCTTATTTGTGTTTTCTTTAAACTCATGTTGGCAATAACCTACTTATGGCTCGTTTGGAAGTGCTTATACTAGTAGCACTTATGCCAAGAGTGCTTCTATAAAAAAGGTTGTCACATATATTTTAGTCAAACAAAAATATTCTCAGTCTAGCAAGAAAGCATTTCTATAGGTTAATGCCTAGTTGAGAAATTATAGCAGCTTCTTCTGCCTATACAACACAACTCTTGTTTAAGCAGAACTTGGGCTTCTCTCCAGTGTTCTGCAAGCCTTGCAAATAAGGATTAAAAAATCTACTCCTGACCCAAATCTAATCTAATGAGAAGGCAAGAACCAAATTCAACCATCAACCCCATAAAACAAATTAAACCAAGAACCAAATGTATAAAATAAAAAAAGCTCCATACAACAACCTGGCCTAGAAGGCCTACCAAATGGTTCTAACAAAGATCCCTAGAGAGCCCAGCAAGTCACAGAGTTCATAAGACAACCTACAACTAACATATCCAATAGTATCCAATAATAATCAGCATCTAAAAATGTTCACTTCCAGTGCAAGGTTCTTTCTGTCCATAAGCTCAAAGATGCAAGTATCTCCTTCTTTTAACCAATTTGCCTTTTCAAATGCTCCCCAGCCAGCACTAAATAGGTAGTTTCGAGGATGAAAAATCAAAGTCACAGGCCACGATCTATGTCCGACCAGAAGCCTCGCGGTTTGATTCTTCCCTGGAGTGAAATGCTTTCGAAAACTAGCTGGAACATGCTGCAGATATAACATATGGTAAATATGGCTCAATGATATATAGTGGAGATGATTTAGAGCTAGACTTTGAATAAAGTGCTACATGTAGAATGTTATAAATCAGTGTCTGAACCAAATGAAGTTGTATAAATCCCTTACCGCCTTACGGGATGGCCCCAAAGTGATTTTGAAGAATGGGTGGCTTGAGACGAACTTGTTGGCAGCTTTAACAGTAGCCCTCAAAGATGAAGATGAAGAAGATGATGCCTTTGATGAAGAGCGTGGCTTTCTTCTGTTTTTCTCTTGAGGCGGAGGAAAGAACTCAAAACTCTCAACAGACTTAACATCATCATCATCATCTTCATCAATTAGTAAAATCTCCAAACTTTCATCAGTTTCAATCTCTAAGCTCTCTACAGACTTATCATTATCTTCTTCATCATCTTCAATCTCTAAAATTTCTTTTATAGACATATCATCATCTTCTTCTTCATCGGTTTCTTCAATATGGGGCATTGTTGGATATTCAATCTCTGTGCCGCTTTCATCAAATATCAAGACGTGGAATTTGGATTTCCCTTCATATCGGAAGACTAAGCAGCTACCAAAATCAAGGGAGCAAAACTTAGAGAACTCTGGCCAACCCTTTTCAAACGAAAACTCACCAGCACATTTTCTGAGTTTTATTTCACTTTCCAAACCACCTGGAAGCTTAAGGTGTATTTGATCTGATAGATGCTCTCCATGTTTGTCCATAAATGTCTTTGGCACCCTCTGCACAAAACAAAAACTTGTCAACGAGCTATTTCATAAAGCAATCTAGAACTTCTCCATAGCCAACAAAACAAAAAATAGAAAAACAAAGCCCTATATGTAGTGCAGAGAAGTGTTTTATAAGTAAGTCTTAAAGCGTTGAGGCGTAGAAATACTTTCTTGATTTTAATATTAAAAATATTAAATAATTAAATTGTAATATTAATTCTTATGCAATCGTAATAATCAATCCAATATAATCAAATATGATTGTTAACATCACAATAATAAATCCCAAAATATAAAATACTCAATTGTTCATAAAATATTCAACAACAAAGGAAGAATTCAAGTCATTCACAGTAAGTTAGATAGCTAACTAGGTCGGCATGATAAATAAAATAAAATAAAAACATTTTGCTGCTCATAAAACACAGGGTTTCCATTTTTTTTCGTTCTTTTAAAGTCAAATAGGGGCGGGGCAGCATGTTTTCTTACATGGGATAGGCTAGGCTAGGACTAATCACAAGGATAGGCTTGGCTTGGACTAGGTCCTATCCTATGTTTGGTGGGATGCTGGACTAAGAGGGACTAAGGGGAAGATGTGCACTTTTTTACTCCTTACTGCAGGAAATGTAAAATCAACCCAAACACAAAGCCATTCAATTTTGCAAGAGCCAAATTCGACTAATCAGAATAAACCCAAGTCCGAATTCGCACTTCCAATTTTGGGCTGCTGGGCTAATTAAGTTAAGCCCCTCATTTAAACTTGTCCAAAACAAGCCCAGTTAGGAAAGATCGATTCATCGGATCTTAGGTCGGGACTGACGGGGCTCGAACCCGCAAGCACAAAATCAATGTTGAATCAACAATCTTTAAAGGCAGGATGCCGAGAATCCTCTCTCTCTCTCTCTCTACGAAGAGCAGGCGTGTGTGGGACTTTAGGACAAGACTCTGCAGGCGTTTGTCTTTCTCTGCATTCTGGAGTTACCAGGCCTCCGACCTCTTTCATGGATTGAATGGGTCAAGAAAAGTAGCATGAAACAGCGGATCTTATCTCAGACAGAGCACAACGGGTTAAAATAGAAAACAAAGCCCTCCTATTTCATTCATAGAGCAGAAGTTAAAGGTAGAGTTGGGGTTGCTTACAAGTCTTTTGTCTCTAGCATTCGTGTTCGTGATCGTCTTCATGAAATGGGGAATTTTCTTTGCAGCCATTGTAGGAGGAAGTACTTGAAAAAGTTCAAGACAAAGCTATTATTCTAGAGAGGGCAGCTGTGGTTTCAATTTTAAGGGGGTGTTTTAATTCAAGTGAGTTGAGCTGAGCTGAGCTGAGCGGCAACAATGCCAACCAACCAGAAGACAATAAAGAGATGGGGAGGGGGAGAGTATTGAAAGCTTTTTTCACCAAAATGGCAGTGGCAGAAAGCAGAGAGTTTTTTTTCACCAAAATGGCAGTGGCAGAAAGCACAGAGTTTTTTTCACCAAAATGGGCATAGGTTGCTACACCCCTAACCTCATCATAAATATATGCATATGCCAGCAGCAGCAGGGTTCCCCCTTTCAGACAGAGACTAATGCAGCTTTAGACTTGGATGGTCTTTGATGTAAATACTTCAAAAGGAGGGAGACTGATGCTCAAGCTTTAATTGAATTCATCTGTATTTGGAGACTTGCAAAAGAGCTTTTTGAGGCTTGATTAAGGTAAAAATCTGACTTCTTCTCGTTTTTGTTTTGCATTTTAGTTTTTCAATCTGTTTTAGTTTTGTTTGGTGGTTACAAAAGATGCCTGTTACTTGATAATTTTGCTGGCAGTGGCCTGATGATGTACAAGATAGAATTGTAATTACACAAACAAGGTACGGTAGGCGAAAGAATCATCAACTTGTAAGTTTTACAACTGGTCATTATCGACAAACTTGCAAGAATCCAGTAGCACTTCATCCTACTTTGTAGACACATTGGAATAACCTTTTACTGTTTACATTTATGAATTCTAATGAATGAATGGTTATTTTTATTTTCTTTTGTAGATCATCTTGTTGACCTTTTGTATTGTAATGTCAAAATTAGATGATGTTAAAGTCATATGACAAATCATGGATTTTGAAAACTTAAGGTGACATTTTACTTAAATTTTTCTTTAAGATGACAGATTGAAACTGATGTATAAGTTCATGTGATATTTCTACGAAAATCCCTTTTATAAAAACCGACACTTTCTAAAAGTAAGGGTCAAATTTTAGCTATTTATGATAAAAACTCAATCTCACATCGGACTTGAACAATGTCAAATAAGCGGAACAAACAGCCAATAAATCTTTCCCAAAATTGAATGCTCACAAAACTTGGAAACTAAACCAAAAGCATTGTGTATTTGAATAACTAATGATCAAACAAACAAAAAGGGATAACTGTTGATCTATCACTAATGCCAAATTAAGCCTTCAGCCGGCCGTAGAACCTAGCCTTCTCTTGGGTAGTTTGGAAACGACCATGGCCAAATTTGGATGACGTATCAATAAACTTGAGCTTAATGTCCTCCAAAGCAACCCTAGATGTCTGCTTCAGAAGTGACTGCCTCAAGGTAACAACCCGCTTTTTAGGACCCACACAGCAGCCCTTCATTAGAAGATAATCCTCTTTCACTGCACCATAGTGTGGGAAACCTCCCATTGGTGTAATATCCTTCTCAGTCCTGATCAGAAAATGATAATGTGCAAGACGTTTAAATATTGCAGATTGGA